CCCCAAAACCCCAAAACCCCAAAACCCCGCAAGTAATTTATCTGTTTAAATTTTATAAAGAAATTTAATTGCAATTCAAATTCATGAATATTATTTTAATTTGTTAAGATGTAAATCATTTATTTTTCATTAGTGGAGCTATAGAATGAGAGAGTTAAAGCCTGATAGAAATTAATTGCTGTCTTGAAATCAACAATAACGTTTGATCTCTGAGATCATTAGAACAGATAATTCCTAAACAGCATTACTTCATTATTCATTGCACATATTTTTTCTTAAATCTTGCTAATAATCATCTTGTGTTCATTAAGTGCATCTCCATTAGATTATTAGTAACCAGGTGTGCAATTAATTTAAAAGGATTTCCCTTAAAATTATTATGAATTGCAAGTATCATAAGCTTTTAGCTAAATTCTATCAGTTTCTGAATTGAACTGTATCACTATTCCAGAAAATACTTAGAGGTAAACTATCTTAAAGTGATTATCAGATAGCTTCGATAGTATGTACTTTAAGGTTTGTCTATTTTCGAGAATTCTAGTCACAATTAGATTTTAAATTTAAAGACATATAGTAGCTGCCTTGGAGCATGCTATTTGCTTTGTATCATCAGGGTTTAATGATAAAATATCCTGATACGATTTTTAATCAAAAACACGTAGATGTGCAGCTGATTCCTTGATGATGTTTAGTAAATTGCGAAATTAATTAACTTTTTCTTGATCGAATGTATTTTCTCCAAGCATTTCCTAATCGATGTATGTTTTCTTCACCATCATCACAAGAAACTTATCAATTATCAAGAAATCTTGATCAGAATATCCTGCATTTATGTAATTTTTTTGGAAAGAGCAAATAAGGGCATCAAGAATAGAAACTAAGACTAGTATCTTGTCTATGTCATTGTAGTAATCTCTAGGTAATTAAAAATTTCTTAAGAAAGCTTAGATCTTAGGAGTGTACCCTGCAAAATCTATTACTGAATTTCTATGTTCTTGGTACAGCATTTTAATGTGGATACATTATTAGAACTATCTATTTTCTTCATATAAGAGAGCAATTAAAAGATAATTTAGTGCATTATCTCTGTTGTATTTTACTGGTTTGTCCTCTGTAATTTTTTTTTCAGTTTCTTCCATAGTTTAGTAGTTAATTTGAAAAGGTACAAAAGTATTGATAGAAGAAGCTTGATCATCCTAAAAATATAAGCAAAGTAATACAGTTTAATTTTTAATACTTAGTTTTGTGGATAGCTATTATTGCTATTAGAACTGCTTTCCATTATTGAAGAAATCTACTGCTAATTAGATTTTTATACTTACTTATTCACTGGTGGAGGACGTGATTTAACTTGAAAGAGAGCTATAATCCATAAATTTGTTTGTAATATATAAATTAAAATAATTGATCAATTTTACTAATTCATCAGTTCAATCTGTCATTAAGGGGTTTTGGGGTTTTGGGGTTTTGGGG